TCTCGAATTCCACACTTGTGGTGGCAGACACTTGAGGTAGATTTTTACTCGTGGCTGTGGCCACACGCTCTAAGCTTCGCCGGCTGTTGAGTTGGCCAGTAGATCAGTATTCGGTTGGTGGTAAATTTCTTTCACGTGTCTTTAGACGACTGAACTTTTTAACTTGGAAAAATATTATTTGATGAGCTCTTAACTGCCGAAATTAAAAAGAAATCTCTCAATGCGTGCTGGCATAGAGTAATAAATCTGTTTATTACTTTACGGCCTTATAACGTGCTGGCTTCGTCTCAGCATCGGTATTCCAAAAAAAGCTCTCCTATCAACGGTATTCTTTAGTAAGCTTTTGATATTTAGCGTTGCCACATTAACTAATTAACAATATTCTCTTAAGGTTGCCATTTGAATGTAAAATATTAAGCTATCATATTCTGCGAAGACGACGCTTAGTTTTCAGTTGCTCGGTGACTTGCTCTGAGTGCAGATAACGATCTCTCCGCGGTTTCTGGATGTGAGCTGACCTGGTAGAGTACGAAGGAATGCAAGAGTGTGCAGCGTCATGTATTCTCCGTGTCAGAGTTTCCACAGCTTTCCCGATATCCTCACCAGAGTCTAGACTGATGGTGGGATCCAATGTCTCCTACAGACTTTCCTTGAACCTCTCAACATTTGAGTTCCTAGTTAGAAGCTTGGAGATTCGCTTGCTGGTACTTATGGTTAAATAAATACGAAGCACTTAAGCTGTGATTAGATCAATGTCATTCTCCCCACTTGTACTTGATTTGAGTTCACGCCATGGGAAACCGCGAATTCGAGAAGGTCGGGTACCTTCCGAATATTCGTGGACCAGTAGGTAGGATGTCTGGAAGAGAGAGTGGTGAAATGCTTAGCTTGGATGCTGGATAGCAGGGCAGTTCCCTTTGGGTTGCATAGCCTGGAGCCCCAATAGGTGTTTTTTAGATTGAAGTCACCCCCAATTAGAAACCCAATTAGAAACCTGCGCTTATCAAATTGAATCCATAATTTGATGAGAATAGCTGCACCGCCTAGAGTTGCCATTCAGGTGGTTTGCGAAAATTGGGCCACATCCGTTTATTTTAAAGTATATATCAACTTCAGGCCTACTTTTGCATAGGCCGTTTGTCCATAGAACCAACTTTAGACTTATTTGCATAATAATGATATAATAGTGCCAACATCTTTTGCGTCATCTGAGCAAATTGTGTTTGCATTAATTGCATCATGGCCTGTATTTATTATTTTTTAATTTTTTTTTTATCAAATTTATTGAAATGAATTTTATATATTTCTTATATATTGGCTGTATTCATTTTATTATTTATATTTTTTTTTGACACTTTATACTTATATATGAAATATATGAATTATATGAAATATATATATTATATGAAATTTGACCGCTGTTGAGACAGTTGCTGCCCCTGAGTAACATAACGAACAAGATGAACTCGGCCAGGCTATATTACATTTTTGTAAGCTGTTAAATATTTCAAATGTTATATATTATTATATTAATTTATATTTATTTTCCTTTATATATTTTAAATATATATTTATATTATATATTAAAAATATTTCTTTTTATTTTCTGAGTTTTTTTTAACAGCTTTTAGACTTCCCATATATCTTCATTTATTATATATTCAAATTTTACTCTTTATTTATTTACTACATATTTTGTTTCTTTTTTTCTTTTCTTTTGTTGTCCATTTCAAGAACAAACCCAGCTTAAGCCCTACACAACTTTTCCGGCCCATTAGAGCCCACTTAAGGATAACTGCAACTCCCCTTCTGTCCACCGCACACCTTACACTTTTGCCGCTGGCCTATTGGAGATGAAAAATAAAAAGTTTCTTCTGACAAATTATATTTAAATGAGCTGCATTCAAAAAGTTGCGAGCGTTTGGCCAAATTGACATGGCCAATGTCTTGGGCCCGACCAAAAAAAATATGACAGAAGTCGCCAAATTAAATATGCGAAAAGTCGAAGCAAATGCCAGTGAGAGATATTCAAAAAGTTTACATTCGCCCAATTCTAAACTCTTTTTCAGCTCGCTCAAAGGTACTTTTTGTTTGCTTGAGGGTTCCTTAGGTGAGGGGCTGCGCTATGGAGGGAAGCAAGAAAGAGAGAGAGAGATGCTTAATTTTGACATTTTACAGATTTGTTGCTTAAACGATTAAATGCCCGCTGGCTGTGCAGAGCGCTTAAATCTTTTCAGGCAAATGGACGGTGGGGATTGGGGAAAGGATATTCGGTTTTGAGGTTTTGTGTGCTGTTTTACGAAATGGAATTAAATTCCATTTTCAGCTTTGGGCAAAAGTTGTTGTGCGCATTTTTATTTACAACTAGTTTCATGTGTGTGTGTAAAATGCAAAAGAGTTTAATTTGCAATTTGTCGCCCTCATTCAACGCTTAACTTTTCATCTCACACTCGGGCGCCGCTTGCGGTTCCATAAGCAAATGCCGTCGGTTGAGAAAGCCATACCTTAACCAGCCCACCCTCTCCCCCTTTAAGCCAGACTGTGCGTTAAATGCAGAGAAAAGTTTCGCATTGAGGCGCCACTTGAGCTGGCTTCGGAGTTGCCGCTTGCCGCAGTGCCAAGTGCGCAGTTTGTTAAATGCCTTTCAACGCCGTGGTTAGCCAAGCGCAGACCTTGAAATGCAACGCCCGGCCCCGGCCAAAGCAGGCCAAAAACTCTTAGCGCATGGAGCCCAGTAGTTGCCAACGGCCACTCGGGCAGCTAACCAGGCGCACAACTTTTCTGTGGGCAGCCGCACATCGCCTGCAACCAACAACAAAAGTCATTTTGTAGTTACTCCGGACATGTTGATTGCAAACAAAATGTTTTAATTGAATAACATAGAACAACCACTTTTTTTCTAACTTTTCTACAGCACTTAAAGCATTTAAATGCCAATATTGCGTATGCTTCATTTTCAGTTTGATGATGCTTAAGGACATTTATTAGCTTTGAATTGGATTTGATTTTTTTATGGACTTCTAAATTTCTGAGAATTTGTGTTTATATTTTTTATTTAGGCAACGGTGCGTATGCCTAATATACGCATATGTTAGCATCTACCATATATAATATCATCTTTAATATACAAGTTTGTTGTTGTTTCTAAATTGCATAGGTTTGTTGAAGTTTTGATTAAATTTTTAGTTTTTTTGAAGGGCACTGTTAGAGCTGAGGGGCTAACCGTGCGTATACTTGAGTAGAAGTAGCACAGCATATTAAATGAAGTGTTTTTTATACAGTGGACATAATAAAACTTCATTTTCTCTATTTTATATATGAATCAATCAACCTTTTATATTGTACGTTGTCGTTGTTAATGTGTTTTCTAAGTTACGCATTTAGGCAAAAGAACAAACGGAATTAATATAAAATTTTGGGCTGGCATATGAATATAGAATACTCCATTCCTATTAAAAAAATATACCAAAATATAAAGTCGTATTCTTTATTTTAAAATTTACATACATATTTAATTGTTTTTAAAAGTTACATTTTATGAAAGCTACAAAATAGAGAGCAACAATTCCCGCTATATGTGCAATTAAATATTAATTGTAATTGTAATTGTACAACAATTGCAGAAAAGTTTCTCAGATACTTACGCATTCTTCAGCATTTATTTTAATTATTAAAACGTATTTAAAATACCAACAGGCTTTTGTCCGGGCAATTAAACAATTTAAATTAAATGAACCAACAAACTTGGCTAAATTAAATGCTCATGTTTATGTTTTGATTATTATTTTTGATATTGTTGCAACTAACAAATATCCAATTTGATAATTTAGTTGTGGCCAGCAAATGATTTGCATGCAAGCGAACTCCCAAGGGCTTGCGATCAATTAGGGTCGTAATTCGAATACAATTTGCAATTTGTGCCAATGTTAAATCCCAAAATTTAATTAAAATTTTAGCACACAAGTTTTTCAAATTGGGCTGCGTCTAATGAAATTGCTTTGAAATTTGCATTGATTGATGCCATTTTGTGATTTATTGTAGCTGAGACGAACTTGAGCTAAACAACAGGCGAATATCCTGAGTTCAATTAGTCGCTGAGTCTTTGTGGGTGTGTATGTATATTTGTGTATAGGTGTGTGTGTGTGACAATGTCAAATGTCGCACACACACGCACACTCAAACACTGACAATGTACATTTATTTTACTTGGTTTCATTTCGTATTTCTTTACATGCCGAACCACAATGATTGATGCGGATATGTTATCATCAAATAACTGTGACTCTTGTCAGATCTCGAGGGGGCTGCCAGAGGATTATCTACAGGGAGTGGGCGGAAGTATACCCATGTGCATAAGCCGACATATGTTCTGAGTGTGCGCGCGTGTGTGTGTGTCTTTTTGTGCTTGGTCAAAAACTCAATTTAAATTGTATTTATTTCCATTGTTCTGCACCAGTCGAGCGCAGTTGCCATTTCTGATGTTGGTTACTGTCAGGAGCTCATTAATCTGGACCCAGAGCTCGAGGGTGACTAACTATCAGTCAAACCACCACAACAACAACAACAACAACAACAACAACAACAACAATAGCAACAGCAACAGCAACAGAAGAGATATGTATGAATACATTGTATTCAAATATTGTACGTACACATTGATGAGTTATTGACAGAAGAATTGGAGGAAAAAGCTAGTTCACGGAACGAACCATGGATGAGGCAGTAGTTTCAAGCGTGAGCCGAAAAGACAACAAATTTTCTAAGGTTTCCAGCTGTGAGTCTAATGAAGCTTGCAATTGGTTATAATATCTTAAGGCCATAAAATATTTATCATATTAAAATTCAATTTTTAACCGATATTGGTTTGATATATATTAATAAGCTTGCCTACAGGAGCAAGGCCTCAATCGACTCAAACGCAATCGAAGCTGCACCCATCGTCTTTTCAACTTAGCTAACTTAGCCCTAGACACAACAGATATTTCAATTCCCTGTTCGCCACAGATCATTTAATTTTTAGTTGAACACACAAAAACAACTTGGATATACATAATTGAAAAGGAAACAAATGCTAATTAAATGTGAATCTAATTACCCAAAGACTTGAGGAACGGTCTGTCATCGCTGGTCTCCTCGTCGTCGTTGCCCTCCGAGTCGAATGCGTTGTCAGGAATATCGTAGAGACGTATCATGGGCTTGTTTGGATCCTTCATGATCAGATACTTGCCATCCGGCTGCTTAAGCACAATGTCAACCAGGCAACGCAGCACGCCCCAAGCATTATCCATATTCAGATTGATTTGAGTGGCAAATTCTTGTGGCTTGAACTGCTGCATGCCCAGGATGACATGACGCAGATGATCCTTGCCTGTGTAATGCGCTCTATATATAGGCTATATCAGAGTGTTATAATTACATTAGTATAATTACGATTCACACGCGAGACATAGCCCAGCTTGAGCTGATCGGAACCGGCGAGCACCGCCTCCACGGTCCACTTGGCCAGCTTGCAGGCATTGTTGCGCAGCTCGGAGGCGAGCACAGCCCCGCGTTGGCTGTCCAGCTTCTGGCGCCACTCGACGCTGTTGGCCGCCTTCGAGTCCCACTCGTTGAGCGCCTTGATGGAGAGGAACTGCAACTCGCCGGCGGGCGATTTAATGACGCCGTTGTGTTTGCAGCGCGCTATTAGAACCACATCGTCGCCCAGTTGCCATTGCTTGTAGCGATAAGCAACGGAGGCGAGCTCCACGCCGGGCTCCTCGAAGGGATTGGGCTCATCGAACTTGTGCTTCGGCTCCTGTTCGCCAATCTTGAGTACCTGCTGACTGAAATTGTGATTGATCAAAGTGGCCTCCAATGACAGGCTCTGCGGCGAATTGATGGAGCCTTCCTCATCCTGCGGCGGCTCCAGTGCCGTCTCATTGACCGTCAGCAAATCGAATTGGGCATTATCGCGCTTGTCCAGAAACACCTTGGTGCCCAGCTTCTCGATGACAATGTCCCAGGAGTAGTTGGAGCGTGTGCAACACATCAGCGTGGCAATTATATCATCTGTTGCAAAGACATTGCCCATGCTCTTCGAAAGACGGCGTATGATGGGATCGTCTATAGTGCCCGGCACATTGATGATGCGATCGATCTTCTGCAGCGGCCGCTCGTTCTTAACATTAATGCGATCGCATTGCTTATCATAGTACTCCAGCGTACCGCAGGTGACCACATCCACACCGTCCTTTATATTGGGCAGCGACAGCTTGAGCAAGCGAGGAAAGTCAATCTCCTCTATGGAAACCCAGTCGGACCGCACCACCACAGAGCTTTCGCGCAGACGCACTGGCGCATTGCGCATAAAGCGGCGACCCATGTTGCCCCGTCGCATGTCCCGTCCCTTGCCATACTTGTTGCCCGCCCCTGCTCCACCGGCACCTCCGGCACCACCCTGACCTCCACCTATGGCCGCATTGCCACGCACATTGCGACCGTGGACACGCACATTGTTACGCTGATTGGGACGATAGCGATTGCGTTGATAAGGCTTGAGCGAGCGCGGATTGCCGCCGTCGACCAGGTGAAAGGTGGCATCGTCGTCCTCATGGAAGTAGGCGTACTGGCTGTTGTTGCTGCCAAACGTCGAGGCATATTTGTTGGCGTACTTCTTCTCCTGCACGGGCATCATCCAATCGCTGATCTTGCCCAGGCGATCGCTCTTGCAGAATGGCTGATAGGGCACCTCCATGTCTGGCATATCGCAGGGTCCCCAGCCGAACTGGTTGTATTCAATGTAGGGCTTGATGAAGGGCGCGTATTGCGACATGATTAATACTGTTTAACCAAAACACACTATTGAAATTCAGATCTGGAATTGAATCCTTGATCCTTTTACTGAAATTATTCAAATTCGAGCTAGATTTATTTATATACGTTTCTTGATTTTTGAGCGCTACGGAAATTGTGATACGTTTTCGGAGTGTGACAAGGTGGAAATGAATACTCAAAATTGATTCAAGTAGGGCGGCTACGTGATGCAAAAATAACTCTTAATCGAAAAAATATATAGAACAGGATATACCCATAAAAATATATGGATGAAACCATGAAAATATTCAATATATGTATGAAAATTAAAAACCGGCTTTTTTTAAGTTGAAATAATTTTAGCTTAAATTATTACTATTACTATTAGATATTGTCAATAGGTATTTATCGGTTATTATGATCGATTATTCAGTTAAGAGCATCACAAATCGAAAAAAAAATTCGAAAAATTGCATAAAGAAAATGCAGAAAATATAAATTTCTTTATTTGAATTAATTGCATATTTGTTCCAGGCTTATTTAAATATCTAAGTAGCCAAACCTTCTAGTATGTCAAAACAAAAAAGGTCCCTTTTTTAACATAAATCAATAAATGAACTCTGACAAAAACGATGGTTGATTGTCTGACGATCTATCGTTGGTGCATAAATACAATTATACTGTGTTTATGTGCCATATTTATCTTTCTACGCATGTTAATGGCTATCATTTGCCAAGTCGGCGGAAACGTTTACCGGTAAGTGGCATATTTAAGAACCATAAAACCAGGCTGAAAGCAAAGCAATCATTTTTCTTTCTGCTAGGTGACACCGAGTGCTAAGCTAAATACAGCTGAAACCTTGCACCTAGCGATATATGGATAAGCAGAACCGGAAGCTGTATGGAAACTTGACACATAAAATCATATTTATATCTTTAATTAAATTAAATGCAACTCCCTATTGAAATATATACTTTTAATATAAATAATATATTCTAAAAATGTTGAGCATCAGAAAAGTATTTCTTGACCTTTTGAATCGCCTCAATAACAATTGTAGTTTAATTCAGAAGCACATCAAATTAGTACACTTCATAGGTCTAACGACGTTGTCATGAGAAGCGTCTAGTGAAAATCTGATCCAGGGAAATGTACCCAAATCCTTTACGAACACCCAAAACCCGCACATTTATTATTATAACTTTAGTCCTTTGGCCATTGTGTGGCATTGAATATGAGAAAATGAACAGCAGAGAAAATGCAGCACAATAGAAATGCGAGTACACGAATTCAAGCACATATACTCGGATACGCATGTGAGTACTCGTGCTCATCTGAATGAATGCGAATGTGAATGTGGATGTGAGAGAAGAAAGAGGAGCTGCAGAGCATAAACAGGAGCAGGGAACATCCTGCATTATATGCTTGAATGCGGCACGTTTCAGTTACACAGAATGTTGGCTGCTCTCGAGTTGGAAAATCTGGCAACAATCTCGTTAAAAGTAAAGGCCAAATTATAGTAAAACTAACAGATGGTAAAGGTAATCACATAAAGAGCTTGTTACATAACAATCTCAGTTGCCGGGGCAAGCGCAAACGGAAGCGGATATAAAAAAAAAACGTCGAGCGTGTGAATGTCTCCCAGGGGGTGGTGTAGTGTTAGAAGGGAGGCGTTCACTGCATATGTGCGAATGGACTTGGAATTCTGCTTCCTATTTTTTCGGCTTGGCGCTGGCTGCCACTCAGCTGGCTGCTAAGCTTTTGTCAGGCCGACAGTGTCATGTTGATGTGTTCATTGTGTGCCAGTGGCAGCTGCTGTTGCTTACAGTGGGCGCCCAACCTCAGCCCCAACCCCAACCGTCAATCCCGAACCTCTTAATCCCACCCCTCGCCCTGACACCCTGAGCTACAGTTAACACGCTTAAGCCACATACGCTCGGTTTGGCTGTGCGTGCAAGTTGGGTGGTTGAGTGGCTGCTCGCGTCTGTTTGTGTGGATTATAATTGCCATGCGGCTGTCAGTGAGTGCCTGCACCTCAAAATGCAACCGCTCTGCCAAGCCTCGCCCGCACGCAGCTGCGGCTCATGTTGCATATCATTTTTAATGCTAACCACATGCCACATTATGCAGCTGCATTGCCGCTGTGGTCGAGCTCCAGCTTCAGATCCTGCGCGGCTTGGTGGCGGCTACTGCTAGAGCTTCGGCTTTGCGGCCCTCCGCCTTCTAGAGAAAGTGTTGTTGCTGCTGCCGCCGCTGCTGCTGCTGCTGCTGCGGTTGCTAAAGGCACACGACGAAGAATAATGTTCACGCATAAGCAAGAACCTCTTCAGGAAGCGACAATCTGAGCACAGGTATCACTATCATTATTATATCCTGGGAAAGCTATAATCAAACTTTATAGAACGAGTTCGAAAGTGTATGCTCATTACTTTTATACGATTCCTATATTAATTATAATAAGCGTATTTTTCAATGAGTATTCAATAATAATGATAAGATTCTCAGCATTTTATGGGAGCTGACCACGAGCAGTCCAGCGTAGTATTTAATCTAATTAAAATTTTCGTAGAAACAAATTGGATTAAAAGCAGAAGAGATATACGCATACAGAGAAACCCGTGGGACGACAAATCTCTTAAAATATAAATGAAATGCATTTATATAAACTTAAGCCAAATAAAATGTATAAAATTATGCATTTAAATAATCAATAAACAGCTATTATTTTTATATATATTTTAAAATATCTCAAGAGCAAACGATTGGATTAAGACCAGACTCAAGCTAACATTTATATCGTAGCACACCATTCCCCATTTGGCTACTTAACTATAGGGTATATGCGTAACAGCAGCAAAGTGAAAAACCGCTTGCATACTTTGCGGCGCGCGCAGGCGATAAGCGACGCTTGTTGCTATTGTTATTTTTGCTGCTGCTTCTTCTGCCGCTGCTATTGTTGCTACTGTTGTTATTGTTGTTGTTGTTTCTGCTCCATTCGGTTGCATTGGCGCGGCTGCTGTTACCGCGTCGGCTGTTTTTGTTGCATAAAAATTAATATTTATGCGAGGCAACTTGTGCAAAGCACTGCAAATGCCATTGTTTTCATCTGCACAACCCTCCACCAACCCCGATGCCCTCCTCTTCGAAAACCGCCCCGTCAGCTACACGCGTGGCAAGGACGTTCCGGATGGCCGCAACTGCATTCTCAGCTCGTCAAGCGCAACGCAACGCCAGCTGACAGGACATACATATTTGTATGAAGGCATTCAATTACCTGCTCCAAGCCACCCCACCCTCAGCCCCCCACCCCCTCCATTGCATACTTAGGCAGGTGAAAATAACAGTGCTCACACCTCGTCAGAAAGTGAAAAGCCTCCATTTACCAGACCCTACGCTCCGCTGGCCCACTCACCACAGCCTGTCGTAATGGCGCTTAAATTGCGTATAAAAATGCACGACAAGATGCAAATGTAATTAATAGCATATTAAATGGACCGACCATTAATAAAACATGATTGATTTATGCGGGTAATTGAAGCTGAAGTGCAGTCAGGTGCACGACTAGCCCATACCCTGCAGGAAATAAAAAAAGTTTGTACTTGACAAACTTAATTTTAAATTGGCATTGGGTTAATTAGGCGAACAAAAAATGGTTAAGCAAGAGATTTACGAATATGTTTAGCTAGTCGAATAGGCAATATCCTGCAATAGGGTACGAAATAAAGGAAAATAAAATGCATAGGCTAAGAGCGTCAAACATAAATGGAGAAGAATAGTAAAAAGGATTCAACTTTAAAATTGTGTAAAACAAATAAAAGTTATGCATGCAGAAAAAAAGAGGCCAAGTCCAATGTATATATTTACTATATATATTAAAATTTACCTGATTAAAGCAGTAATATAAGTTAATTATAAAAAAACTAAAATATATAATAATTCTAATAATTTTAAGAATTAGAAACATTTTCGTTTAAAAAACTGTTTAAAAAAAAACTTTGAATTTCCATTCAGGGTAGGGTTGGTTACAGTATGTTCCAGAAATTCAAATTCAATTCGAAAGCAGGTGCTTCTAAAAATTTTAGATTTTTGCAGTTTGTTGTTAAAGAAATGCAAACAAGCTGTTTACTACCGATGAGAAGTGACGTTTAGTTTGGGCACAGGCTATGCGTCGTCCTGGGAGCTGGATCGTCATAAGCAAGCAACTCTCAAACCAATTGGGGCAAACAGATACAACTATAAGTTGTCGTGGCAGCTGGACCCTTAACTGCCTGAAAGTGGGCAATATCATCGAAAGAAGAGCCTGCCGTTGTCCTCGAACTATTAGGAGATACTCAAAAAGGAAAATGGAGTTGCCAGAGGGTATTCTCATTGGTTTCGGTAATCCGCTCCTGGACATAACCACCATTGTGGACGACACAATGCTGCTCGAGAAATACGATCTGAAGCCCAATGCGGCCATCATTGCCGAGGAGAAGCACTTGCCGCTTTTCGAGGAGCTGACCAATCAGGAGAATGTGCACTATTCGGCGGGAGGTGCCTGCCAGAATTCGATGCGTGTCTTCCAGTGGATAGTGGGCACACCCTTTCGAGCCCTGTTTTTTGGGGCCGTGGGCCGCGATAAGTTTGGTGATACAATTGCCAAGCGGGCGCTATTCGATGGCGTCCAGACCCACTATCAGGTCAAGGACGAGGCATCAACCGGCACCTGTGCGGTTATCATATCGGGTCAAAATCGTTCCCTGGTCGCAAACTTAGGCGCCGCGGCTTTGTTCAGTGAGGATTGGCTAGACATTGAGGAGAACAAGTGTCTGTTTGAGCGTGCCCAGTATTTCTATGCGACCGGCTTCATTGTCGCCGTAAACTCACCCAGCGTACTCCGCATGGCGCAGCTTTCCAGCGAAACTAATCGCTGTTTTGTGCTCAATTTCAGCGCTGTCTTCGTGCTGCAAACGCACAAACAGGAATTAGACGCAATTCTGCCATACACTAATATGGTTATTGGCAACAAGCAGGAGGCCATAGCATTTGCCGACACACATGAATGGAACACCACGGATATCTTTGAAATCGGTCGAAAGCTGCAAAGCCTGCCCAATGAAAATAATCGGCCGCGCATTGTCATGATCACTGATGCCGTCTGCCCGGTGCTCTGCTTCCAGGAGAACG